ACTTCTAGACGAATAAAACATTTCATTCTTTTAAATTCAAAAAAACTTGTATCTTGCAAGCCTATATATGAGTTGCTATGAAAAGACAGCAATCACCTTTATATTAAAAAATTGCAGTTCTCAAGCACGCGTTTTGCATACAGAGACAATAACAATAATCTAAACTGGGCCCAATCCTGAAATGTTTTCTTCTTTTTTTACTCAGCTCAGCTTGAACTGACTTCAGTGGGAGCCTGTATTCACATAGCCGTTGGCCTCAATCAGCCTTATTTAGGTATTGATCAAAAGATAAAACCACGTTGCATGAAATTAAAACCAAGGCAAGGATTAGCACATGTCAAATTGATATTTACAATTTACAGCTTCAAAATTAGGATGCCAGAGAGCTACGGTTCAGCCTACAGCTCCTGTGTCAAATAGGGAGCAGCAAGAAAACTCCTTCAGAGGAGCCCCAAAGGGCCGTGACCCCAAACAGCAGAGGTATTGCTCTGTTCTCCAAAATGCAAGCGAAACATGAGTGTTTGCACCAGCCTTGCACTGGAGCACCGGCGCCTCATCCCAAATCCTGCCCGGAGGGGAGGGCCTCCCGTGCTGTCAGCCCATGAGACACCAGGGGGGTGTTGCCCCGCTGTTGGCCAGTCCTGGCCCCGCAGCAGCCTGAGGACGCTCGCTCCCCAAGGGCTTTCCGTGGAGGGGTGCAAGCGCACCGGGGTAACAAGTCAACGGCTTCGCACTGAAACTGGGGACTGTACCGCGGGTAGCTGGATGCTCCATGGTGAGCTGTTTCCTTCAAAAAACAGCCACCCGTGTTAGCTCTACCCTAGTAATGCATTAATAAACTTGTCAGACAGTGTTATAGGGGTCAGATCTTATAATTTAGAGAGACTTGTGCTGGTTTTGTTCACTGCTTGCTCTGCTTGTCCAGAAGTGCTCCCTCGTTCAGCACTACTAGTGAGGGGATGCTGAGTGCAGCCTGTCTTCTCCTTTCGGCGCCGCCTGCTAATTAATCCTATTGATTAACACTTCCAGAGCATGTAATACCCAACGCTCCCTATGCGGAGCACATAGGCAAACTGGCCAGAGAAATGCAAATGGCTAAATTATATTCAAGACAGTAAATTTATACCGGTGCCTGTGCATATTGTCACCTAGAAAGAAATCAAAGCCTCCGTTCAGGCTTTATTAGTGGAGATGCAGCCGTCTGCTTCTACCAGCTCATTCAACTCGCTTTCTGCACTGCTGGGGGCTGCCACTGATAGCACGGCGGCTCCCCACAGCCCCCATGGTCTTATACAGAGACTTCAAAAATGGAGTAAGGAAAAAGAGAGAACAGCCCCAATCAGATTTTTATTACATAGTCTCAGAATATAGCATACTTTCAGCAGATCCGGAGCTTGGAAAAGCTGACATACACGAAACAGCGACCGTTTGAAGAATTACTTGAGATGCGGGAGATTCTCTGGATTATAAAGAAAGAGGCTGTTTATGAAGCAAAAAAATCTGAAAATTGACCTCCTCCTCCATTATAACTAAAATCTTGGTTTAGCCTACTAAATGAAAGGGAAATATGACTGAATAAACCAGATCCAAAGTACGCTGAAGATAATCAACATTTTTAAACGCTGATGCTTTGTATTATATATTGTGTGACTACTAATCTAGTTTAAGAATAGATAACATTTGCTTTTTTTAGCAAGTGCACAAAAGCCAGTCACAGTTTGACCCAATTGCTGTGGAAGGATTTGTGACTGTTAGCTTTCTTTTACCTAGTTGTTCTTCCAGAAATGAAGTGCCTTTTGGAGTAAATTATTTGGGCTATCAGCTACACTTGTCTACGCTTATTCAAATCTCGTGTGATTGTTCTTTGCTTGGCTTTATAAATGAACATATTCACATCCTCCTTTACTCTGCCTTGGGCAGCTAAAAAAAAAAAAGATATGTTATTACTGTCATTGTTTAATAGGTATATACAATTATGAAACTTTGAGATGTCCTAGTCATGCCCTCCTGTATGAAATCATCTTGTCTGTGGCAAAAATTCATTTAAGGAGAAACTGCGCTCTAACAACAGAACCACTATAATTATTCCCTCAATAAGTTTGACATTTGCGATTCCATTATGTTGGGACTCATGATATAAGAGCTTTTATGGTCTTTTCCGTTCCACCCAGAGCTCTCCAGGGAGCGAGGACAGGAGGTGCTGGATGAGAGAAGGCGAGCCTGGCGATACGGTGCAGCAGCTCGCAAGAGCCCTTTCTGCTTTGTGGGACCAGGGACGTTCCCCACGATCACCCGCTGAAGCCTCTTCCTCACGGGGGCAGAGCAGGAGACCCCCATTTTAAACCAGTGCCCTGATTTGTAAGGGAGAAGCGTTTCAATTGTCCACTGCTGGAGGATGTCCATGCATCAGGGAGGCCGCAGTGCGCGTTCCTGTCACCGATTGGAAACTAGACCAACCAGACTAGATCCGCAGGGTCAGAAATCTCCTCTGCCCTCTGTGAGGGCACGTGACTAAAGGACTTAACTGTCCCTGCTGTGTGCGTTTTAAAAAATAAACTCCTGGCTTTCTGAGGCCAAACTTTACTATTGCAACTGCATGCTGTGGAAATGTGACGTAGCTTCTGCTTGTGCAAACCGGGTGAAGCACATCAGCTATCCGAGAATGCAATTTGCTAAAACCGACTTCAAAAACTGGGGCCTTTTCTGGTCTGAGTTTTCTGCTCAGTGTGGAAAATTGAGTCCTACACAGTCCACTGAGGAGCAGGGGGGCTGAACAGATTGCTTCCCTGCATTTTTCTGCAGAGAAGCTGGGGCAAATGCTTTGTTATTCTGCTCAGAATACTGCAAATTTCAAGGAGGGGAATCTTCCCTCCGGCCCCAAATCTCTCTTGTTCAAAGCATCCCTCTTCTTCACATGTGCTGCAGGGCACTGCTGCCCACCTTCCCTCGGTTCCTGACAGTTGCCCCCTTCTCTAGCACGTTGAGAGTCATCCTCAACTAAAGAACAGCCAAGAAGCTGGATTTGGGCAACACAGTGCCTGCAAATGATCTTTTTAGATGAGATAGAAAAAAACAACCACCTTATGTTGGCACTTTTAGGCCCCTTGAGCCATTCTGATAATAACTGAAGGAAACAGGATATTGTAGTAACTGTCTGGCAAGTGCATGAAGAGCTGCAATAAATCTTACCATTGTGTTTCTGCAGAAAGCCAATGACTTTTTCCAGCACAGTAGTTTTGTCCATTTTGCGAGTGTTGCCTGGAAGCATGGAGCTGAGCTCTTTGATGAGAACATTGAACTGATCACGCCTCTTCTTCTCAGACTTGTTACGCGAAGCCCTGTAGACAGGGGAAAAAAAAAAGGATGAGCAGATCAAGAGGAAAAATCATCATGTACCTCCTCTTTGGAGTGTATACACATGGAAATTAGCTTGCTGTGTGCCTCAGCATGTGAAGATCGACACTGGCCTCCAACAAAGCTGCAGAGACAAGTAGGAAGCGACTGTTCCTACCTCCTGCTCTTGTCTTTGGGCCCCCTTTAGAGTCCAGCGGGGAGATGGAGGCTCTGCTCTCCCTTCTGTGCTGCCTCTGGACACTCTGGTTGAGCCTATCAGGTCGGCATTAAGCCTGTAGGTGAAGGAGCTCTGTCCATCTCCTAGGCATGCACAGGATCTTGAAAGTTCACGCAGCCTCTGAGGAGGCACTCAGAGCAAGAAGAAATAGAAATACTGTGACAACAGTAAAACCGTCCATAAAGGAGGAGAGTGGGGACTGATAAAACTATATGGGTCATACCCATCTGTGCAGTCTTAACAGGAGAGAGGGACCGTGGTCCTGCAGCTCAGCCATTGCACTGGAGCTGGGTCAACCTAAAGGACCTGCCCGCTTTGGTCACAGGTCCTCTGGCTACCTCCAAGCTGGCTTACAGAGAGGAATTGGGCTGTTGTCTTCCAGTCATTAAGATCAGGGACCTGAGCAGAGGTTGCTGCAGCTCCCATCTAGTTCATATGCCACCTAGTTCAGTCTCCCTTCCAAGGTGACAAGGGCAAGCAGGAGGGAGGGCATCAGCATGCCTCATCCCAGCACAGACTGGGTCTGAGGCTGGGATGTGTTCCCAGACCTGGGGGCTCGGAAGTGCTAGCAGGGGTCCCCCGCTTGCCCCTAATCTCTGTGTGCCACTGGGCAAATCGCTTAAGGTCACGGTGCCCCGACTCTTTAGGTGTAATATGGGGACTCTGCAGCTTTCTTCACCAGTCTTGTCTGTTTAGCTTGCAGACTCCTCAGAGAGAGCCTGCTTCTGCTGCTGTGTTTGAAGAGCTCATAGGAAGAAAGGATCTGATTCCATTTGGGGTGTTTTGGCACCATCATAAAATACTGCCATTAAGGCTGTTGATAATCTTTTCAGTGTGTGCACTTTATTTTTTTTAAATTATATGTCAACCTATACACGAGCAAGTGTTTTCTGAATTGTTCCCATGAATGTGACAATCATTCTACTTGGAGGGTATCACCCAGACTTCTGTAGCCATGTGAAAATAGAAATAAATATAACCCAGAAGGTTTGTCTGTTCTTCTGAAAGGTCCTCAAGCAGACAAGATTTGCCTTGTTAATTATGTAAAGATCTAAAAATATGGTTACATGTAGACAGGAAAGAAAAGCCAAGATGCCGGTCCTCACTCCGAGTTTCTCAGTCCCAGCTAACTCTGCTGTACCTCATAAGCAGCTCTGGATGCACACTGCTGAAAATCAGAGCAAAATTTAGCCCAGCATCTACAATCCCCCCCAAGGACCAGGTTGGCAATAAACATTTTCAGCAGAGAAATCACTACAGAGGCTTCTGGATGTTACTACTGACAGAGGGGTAATTTTTGTTTGTCTTGCTCTCAACCCTGAACACACTTGGAGAGACACTGGATAGAAGCCAACACTTGATTATTTTACAGCTTTGAACACAAGAGATTGGGTGGATACTGCCTGACTGATTTCAGCCTGTTCTTATTACAGTGCAAAAGGCTGTCAGAACAAGATGTGAAAAGCTCCAGCCTTATCCTATTTCTGTACAGTTCAAGGGGACATTAAGAACATCAACATTTTACTTCCTCATAATTCAATTCTCAGTTCATTTTAAGCTTAAAGGGTCTTGATCTCCCTGAAAATAAAATAAAACAC